TGCAATGCACACCATCCAAAGGATGGACATATTTGAAACTCGGACTTGGTGGGGGGCAAGGGCAACATACGTAACCTAAACAGCTGTACCCCCATAATATGCTGAAATAAAAAAAAAAGGCATTCAGTGCTTCAGGACATCATTTTACCCACATGAAAATAAACCCTAAAAATCTCATTAGAGTATTGGTGGTATCATTGTAAAGAAAAACAAAATCATTGATTGATACCAGAAGTTCAAGACCAGCTTTGGCAACATGTCTGTACAAAAAATAAAAATATTAGCTGGGAATACTGGCTCTTACCTGGAGTCCCAGCTACTCAGGAGGCTGAGGCAGGAGGATCACTTGAGCCCAGGAGTTCAAGGCTGCAGTGAGCTATGATCACACCACTGCACCCCAGCTTGGGTGAAAGAGTAAGACCTTGTCATGGGGAAAAAATAAATAGATAATACAAAAGGAAGAAAAAAGAAAAAAAAAATCTACCAAGTTATTACAGATTTGGTAATTTTAAGTTTTATCATAATTTATACATTTTGTACCAGTTGATATCATTGCAAGGGCTTTGGATTCAAAATAAAAATGGTAGAAATGTAGAAGCATTTCTGATGCTTATGGATCATAACTGTGGTATAGAGCATTATGCTTTTAGGAAAAAATATAGAGCAATGACAAAATATGTTACATTTCACAACATTCTTCTTTTTTAATCTGATAAACACTTTCCTCAGAAATACCACAGATGGCTGGTACCTGTATGCTGATAGTTCCAATGGGAAATTTGGTGACACGGCTGACATCCTCACTCCTGTCATTTCACTCACGGGACCAAAATGTACCTTGGTGTTCTGGACGCATATGAATGGTGCCACAGTCGGTTCTCTCCAGGTACTGCTTAGGAAATAACATTTTCTAAATTTCCCTTATGAAAATTTATAATGCACAATTTAGTGTCATTAAAATATAGTCTGTTACTAAATGAAAAGGGACAATTATCAACACTTTGCTAGTTTCATAATGGTATGATTGAGTAAAAGCTTTATCAGAATTGGATATGAATAGCTAATAGTTAATTTTTACTGTAATTTATGAATGTTGTCTATTCTAAGGTTACAGTTTCTGTGTAATACTATTTTACACTTGAAACATACCATGTAGGTTTCAGTATCTATGTTCTGAGTATAACACAATCAAATTTACATATACACTTTGGTAATATTTGGATGTGTATTCTTGCTGCCTTCGATGGTAGTAGTGCTACATTCTG